CCTTTTGGCCTTTATATTCCATTGACCTTTCTTCTCTCCTGTCTTCTTTCCACTGGGCACCTCTTTCCATTTTCAATTAGTTTTTTTTTTTAACAGAGTTGCTCTTTCTTCACTGGATTCAGTGCATGGACACAGTGAGTTAAAACTGCATCCCACTCCTCAACTTACCTCTTCGGCCCATTCAGAATTAAAAAGAGCCAGCACTCAGACGATATAGAATCCACCTGCAGTGCAGGAGACCCGGGTTCGATCTCTGGGTTGGGAAGATCCCCTGGAGAAGGGAATGGCCACCTACTCTAGTATCCCTGCCTGAGAACTCCCATGGACAGAGGGGTCTGGCAGGCTGCAGTCCATGAGGCTGGAAAGAGTCGGACCTGACTGAGCAACTAAGCATGCACACACCACTCAACAAAACCAAAAATGAAGAAAGCAAGTCTGTGCTTCTCTATGGCTATTAAAATACCTGAGTCAGCAAGACTGCCACCTGCAGGAAGACAAAACTAATAACAAAACAGACAGCAGAACAGCTTAATCACTGTCGCTCTCTTTTCTAGTAGTAGTCAAGGCTCCATTACCAGACATCCTTGTTGGCTTTTCTAAAACTTTTCTAAAACCTCCATTTTCTAAAACTTTTCTCAGCTCATAAATAGTGTTTGAGTCACTGATACCACAATTTCTCTAATTCCAGCAAGTAATTTCTTCACTTCAGAAACACTGTTCACACACACCACCAAGAAACCACAATGGCAAGCTCACCTCACACCCCTCTGTGGTTTTTACTTCTAGCTTCACCTAGTTGGTAGGCTTAGAGATGGAGTCCTCTCGTATTTCAAAGCTTGCCTGTACTGTTCATGGCCTGTTCAATCTAAAACTCTGCAGTAGTCTAGACTAAATACTCTTTCTTCTATGAAAAAATTCTAGAACATCTCTCTGTATTATAATCATTCAATTAGTTTGTTTCCTTATGGCATTCCCTGACGCTTTGCAAACAGAACTTCAAATTCCTCTAAACAAGTGCTATGAGGCCCCTGGGCCTGCTTTGGGTGTTCGAGAAAAAAGAAAATGGGTTTCCAAGTATGCAAGGTTGAAAATCAAATTCTAGACCATGGCAAACCCACCAAGGCAATATTACTTTCTGAAACATCTTTAGGAAGGCAACCATCTGGCTTCCCCTCAAGATAGCACTTTCAAAATGTCAACAACTGGTACATGTCTACAAGGACAGTTTCTATTTTTCTAATTTTCTCCATCTCATCATATTAAGTTACTGTTATTCTCCCATGAACACTAGTTATTTTTGACTTTGCTTCTATCTGCCACATGAAGGAGGAGGTCATGTTTCTTCAAAGTTCTTCTTCAAATTATTCCATCATTTATTGAATGCCTACAATGAAATAAGCGCTCTACGAGGTGCCAAGAGGAACTCAAAAAATAGGGTGATCTGAGTGAGGAGAAAAATCTGCACACAAACTCAGAAATACAGGGGCAGGAACAAAAGAGTATGCAGGATCCTGACTGTATATATAATTAGTTGTTCTTCTGTCACTTCTCTCAGCCCTAACATCTTTCTTTACCACCTTCTTTCCACTGTCTTTTACTGGTTGCAATTAATAGCTAACAACGCTCACCAGACTTCCTTCTCATTTAGTCCTTCCATTCAGTCAACTCCAGACATATTAATCTTTCTGGTTGGCCTCTGCCTCAACTGCTAAGGCTGCCTGGAGGAACTTCTTCTTCCTCTCCTGGGTGGTTCCACAATGCTTCCAGGTACAAAGAAAAGATGCCACACGTGAAATATGAAAGATTCTCTCCAGTGTTTCTGAACCAGAATCCTGGGAACTCATGTCCCACATTTTTAAATTTTTCATTCAAGCTGAGTACGTGGGTGCTTGCCCACATGAGTGCTATGTGCTCAGTGGCTCAGCTGTGTCTGACTCTTTGCAGTCCTATGAACTGTAACCCACCAGGCTCCTCTGTCCATGGGATTTTTCAGGCAAGAATACTGGAGTGGGTTGCCATTTCCTCCTCCAGGGGATCTTCCTGACCCAAGGATCAAACCTGTGTCTCATGAGTCTCCTGCTTTGGCAGGCTGATTCTTTACCACTGAGCCACCTGGGAAGTCCAAACCTTGCCCATAAAAGATGCTGAGTAAATATCTGCATCCACCAATAACTGGCAAGAATTGGAAAAGTTTGAGTTTCTGTAACGGATATTTGTACTAAACTAACACTTCCCAAACTTACGGGTCTCCCGCATTTGGAGGAGGATTCTTTACCATCTGAGCCACCAAAGAAACCCCTATAGTTCCATGGATCGCCAATTTTGTGAGTTTTATTTAGTAGGTGTTATTGGGGATGAAAGGAGAGAAGGATTCTTTGGTTAAATATGCACAGGAAACACGGATTTCACAGAGTTAAATGAGTTTCTTTATCATAGAACTGCAGATGGCCCATCTAGTATGCTAAAGTGAATCTGTTAGAGGAGAGTACTAGAGACTATCACATGAAGCTTTCCTTAATTAACCTTCTGACTCCATATCCTTTTTTCCCATGGAGCATCTTCCAGGCTCAATTCCTCCTCTGTAAGCTGAGTATTTACTTATAGGGTTATTATGAGGACTGAATAAGTTAATACATACAAAACGCTTAGAACAACATGAGGCATATATTAATAATAAGCACTCCAAGAGAGATAACTGTAATTATCACTATATCCCACGTCCAGATATTTAACATGGCACTATTCCCAGAAAAATGTAACAAGAAAATTTTTACTGTACAGTTGGCCTTCAGCATCCACTGCTGCAGAACCTCAAATACAAAGGGCCAAAGGTAACAAGCCATTTTACATAAAGGACTTGAGTATCTGTGAGTTTTGGTATCCATAGAGATTTCTGGAACCAATGTCCCATGGATACTAAGAGACGACTGCAGAGAAATTTCCACTGTTACTGCCAGGCAGATGGAGTAAGTCCTTCTTTTGCCTGAGAGGCACTGCTTAAGGCTACAAATAACAAAAGACATTTACAGAAATAACTTATATAAATATAGTTATCAGTAAGAAACTTGAGATCTTACAGAAAAAGTACACAGTTAAAAGGGTCTTATGAATTTTCTGCAGTCTAAAAGGAAAAAACCTTGAGTAGTTTGAGGGCTAAGGCAGTCCAAATGCTTAGTATAGTCTCTGATACACAGTAATAAGCACTCAATAAATGTCTGATGAAAAATCTGAGAAATTAATGGATAAACGAATACTACCTCAATTAACAACTTACATATCATTTCTAAATCACTATAAAACAACTGACAAACCCATCACATTTTTATATTTAGGCTCCCTCACTCTCCTTTATAGAGTTTAATCATTTAGATGGAATATGAAAGTAGAAACAAGAGTGACTGCCATATTTTAAGAGGGTGTTTGAGGCATTTGATTAAATTTCCTCTTATAAGGGTGCATCACAATAAAAACTGCTAAAAAAATCAATTATAAAAATAAACTATACAAGTGATATGCATAGTACACAGTGGTGTTGGGTGACATTTATATCTTTAAAGAATTAAAATAAATGAGATACCTGATATTTATAATTTATACAGAAATTTGTAATTTATAAATTTACATAGGACACTATCTCTGTCAGGGCTTCCCTGATAGCTCAGTTGGTAAAAATCCGCCTACAATGCAGGAGACCTCCCTCAATTCGATTCCTAGGTCGGGAAGATCTGCTGGAGAAGGAATCCACTACTCACTCCAGTATTCTTGGGCTTTCCTTGTGGCTCAGTTGGCAAAGAATCCGCCTGCAATGTGGAAGACCTGGGTTTGATCCCTGGGTTGGGAAGATCCCCTGGAGAAGGGAAAGGCTACCCACTCCAGTATTCTGGCCTGGAGAATTTCATGAACTGTATAGTCCATAGGGTTGCAAAGAGTCAGACACAACTGAGCAACTTTTACTTCTTACTATCTCTGCCTGTTCATCTAGTCTGGTTTTAGAACTTTCAGAATTTCCTAAGAACTGAGAAATGATGAGAAACAGAAAAAAACTAAGCTATAAAGATGCAAATGGGTTACACCTTATTTTATAAAGGTGTATTTTATAAAACTCATCAAGGATCTTCCCAACTGTATTTCCCCCCGATAATAATGCTCTCACATATTTCCAGTTTTAAAATACTACAATTCTAAGGCTGTGCCCTCACAACAATATCACTGCTTCTATTACCCAGATTCTTTCTTTTACTTTGTAACTTTTCTTCCTTTCCTTTCTTCCTTTTTAAAACAAATAAGTGATTATCATCACATTAAAAAACTCCAGGACAGGGGTCACAAACCATGGCCACAGGCCAAACAGGACTTGCTGTGTATTTCATATGCCACATGGCCAAGGTGGGTTTTGTTGTTTGGTTTGTTTTTTTTTAAGTTTTTAAAAGGTTATAAAACGAAATAAAGAAAAACATGCAACAGAGACCATACGTGGCTTGCAAAGCCTAAAATATTTATCTGGCTCTTTATGAAAAACTTTCCTTGACCCTGTTCTAGGATAATACTTAACAGGGCTAACCCAGTAATTTCATAGAATTCACATCAATGACAAGTTCACAGTGAACTATTTTATGATGGTAATTAGAGTAAAACTCTGCAACGTTTGTTCTCTTCATGTACACCAAACCCCACACATTATGGAAGTTCAAATATCAAATTCAGATCCCCTGAACAACAGTCCTTCAGTTATAAAGCTAGTCTGGCTACAGGAAACCCTCTTCTCTCATGGGAATTCAGACCAACTGATAAGTGAAATGAGTGTTAACCATTTTCTCAAATTGCATATCCCCCAAATTCACTTGACTAAAAGAAATAAAATAATTCTCCCTTGATTACTCTGAAGTCTACCCCACATGTGATTAAGAGGGAAAGATCTCAAAATCTTCAATGTGTTTTCTAATTCCTTTCTTACAGAGTTCTCGCAAAGTATTCAAAGGAAAACAAACTCAGTAACTCACTCCAGAGCAGGTCTCAGAACTCGGACTTTCAATGCTTCTAATATTCGATTTAACTCCACAAATGGTTCTTTCTGGCTTGGGTCTACAGAAAGACCAGACTCCTGAAAAAAATCAAAAGAATTTTTGTTAGCGAAAGTCAGAGTACAGAGATACCGTAAAAGCATATTCTACATTATAAAATGTGAGATAAATCATTAAAGATAGTTTCTTTTTAACATATACTTCTCTGGCAGAGACTGAGGACTAAGCCCCAGTATCCCTCTTCCTCCTTTCCCGTGATAGTAAACCCCATATTTTAGCTGGGCACGTAAGCATATGGAATAAAGCTGGGCTTTGCAAAATCTAAGTTCTGGCCAATGAAACACAAGCATATGTCTTTGCCCCTTCCTGGAAAACAAAGAAGTTCAAGCTGGGATTCTGGCTACCCTGGACCATGAGGACAGGGGTCACCTTAGAAACAGCAGAGCTAAAAGGAGCTGAGATCCCTAAGAGTTTCATGGTGTGTGGCTACCATATATGTCATGGGTGGCTTACTATCTCCTATTTTTGTGTAAGAGAAATAAACTTCATTTTTGTTTAAGCCATTGGTATTTTGGGTCTCTGATACTTGTAAACAAACAATCTTAAATGACACAATTTATTTTAGGAAATTTATACGGACACAGAATCCTGTAATGTACAGAGGAAGACTTGAGTTACTACTTACCTAAATTGTTTAAAATAGCAAAGTCTTAGATGAGAGGTCTGGTTTACAGACTAGCTTTAAATTATTTAAACCATATGGTCCTTCACTCTTCTAAATGGAAAATACAACAGCACAAAGTGTAAGCCACAGAACAGAGTTTGAAGACACGTGAACTGGAACTGAATCCAAGTTCCTCCACTAAGAACCTGTATGGCCTTGGGCAGGTTATTTCTCTAGACCTCAGATTCCTCACCTGTAGAATGGGGGAAATAATTTCTTCTTCACAGGGTTGCAGTAAGGAGTAAAGGCAGGGCTTGGCTGGTGGTAAATACTTAATACATATTATGCTGATATTATGACTAAGTGGTATTGGTAAACTGTTCTAAATTCATGTCTAATAGGAATAAAAGACAAAAGCTGCTCACTTAAAGTAAATTTTAGCTTGAAATTCATTTGATAAAGTTCTTTAGATTGGGCCAGATTAGAAGAGCAAATATAATCCTCTTTGTCCTCTTCTCTGGTATACTAACTTTCCTATCAAAGAGATGTTTTATGGCACTAGTGGTAAGAAACAACCCACCGACCAATGCAGGAGATGTAAGAGAAAAGGATTCGATCCCCTGGGTCGGGAAAATCCTCTGGAGGAAGAAATGATAACCCACTCCAGTATTCTTGGTAGAATCCCATGGACAGAGAAGCCTGGTGGGCTACAGTTCACAGGGTTGGAAAGAGTCAGACGTGACTAAAATGACTGAGCATACACAGTACTATATTTAAGAGGTAACAAGTAGGAACCTACTGTATACCACAAGGAACTCTATTTGGTGCTCTGTAATGACCTGTACGGAAATGGAGTCTGGAAAAGAGTGGATATACATACGGCTGAATTATTTTGCTGAGCAGCAGAAACTAACGCAACACTGTAAATCAATGGTACAATAATAAAAAAAAAAGATTTAAAAAATTAAGTAAAATGCACTGGCTCCCTCCCAAAAAACAAAAGAGGAGATGTTTGGAAAAGCAGCATCACTTCTGACCCTTGACTGATGACCTGGAACCAACATTCTGGGGCAAGAATAAGGAAATAAATTGAAAAGCAAGTTCTAGGACTATAATTTTTAACCAAGTTTAAAAAAAAAAAGGAGAGAGACTTCCTTGTAAAGTGAGGTCAGCACTGGTGATTAACATGTAACAATCTACCTACAGCTAGAAGACTTAAAAACCACAAGAACCTCCCTTGTTTTCATTTCATCCTCACCTGGCAGAGCTCCTCAGCAACATCTAGCATTCCTTGTCTGAAGAAGTGCTCCACCATCACCTCATTGAGAAGCCTTTGGCTGTCTGCCTGCCAGCAGCCGTCTATCCCCACACTGCTGATGTCGGAATCGAAATTCTGAAAGACAAGATAGCGAGTCATGAATTGACCAGGATGCATTACTTGATATGTTTTCACCCTGCCTACCTTAACAGAAACCACCACCTTTGTTTTAACTCTGTGACAACTCTAGTAAGTCCCCAGTTCCAATTTGTCTGCAGCCTATGACAGGAAGCAGTCTTTCCACTGTTCTTTTCTGAAACCCCCACTCTATTTCATTATTGCTGCAAGGGTAAATGTTTTCACTTTTTGAGGGTATTTTGGAAAAATAAACTTTCTAATGATTCTGTAAATAAACTGATTTCTAGGCATTATATGACAGCAATATTTTCACAGGTGTGCAGTGATAATTGTAAAAGCATGTTCAATGCAGCATTGTCTAATAGGAAAAAAAGAAGAGCCATTATATCCAACATAGGATTATTCAATAATCCTTGGCCCATCCCAACAACTGCAGTGCCAAGGTGGGGGTGGCGGGGGGGGTGGTTGGGGAAAAGAGACTGGACAGATGGCTCAAAGAGCAGGCTCTGGAGCCAGTCCACCAGGGTCTGGATACTGGTTCCATCTAACTAGCTGTGTGATCTTGGCTAAATCACTCAAGGTATTTGAGCCTCAGCTTAAGGAGAGAAAATACTTTTATGGACTTAACTGTATCCTCTTACAATCCCAGTGTTCAAGTCCTAACTCCCAGCACCTTATAAAGTTAAAATGAGACCATTTTGAGCCCTAATCCAATACGACTCTTGTCTCAGGTGGCACTAGTGGTAAAGAACCCACCTGCCAATGCAGGAGACTTAGAGACACAGGTTGGATCCCTGGGTCGGGAAGATCCCCTGGAGGAGGAAATGGCAAACCCACTCCAGTATCTTTGCCTGGAGAATCCCGTGGACAGGCGGGCTACAGTCCACAGGGCTGCAAAGAGTCGAATACAACTGAAGCGACTGAGCATGCACGCACACGGGGCAGACAGGTGCAGAAGGAAGACCACCTGTTAAGAGCCGATGCCTCTGTCCCTCCCAAATTCCTACTTCAAAGCCCTAGAAACCAGTGTGGCTGTCTTTGGAGACAGAGTCTGGGAGAAGGTAATGAAGGTTAAATGAAATAAGGGTGGGGCCCTCATCCAGTAGGGCCAGCGTTCTTATGAGACAAGGAACAAACACCAGGACTCGCTTGTTCTCTCTCCACCACATGAGGGCCCAGGGAAAAGGTGCTCATCTGCCAGCCAGGAAGAAGGCTGCATGCCCTCAACAGGCAGCGAATTGCCCAGCACCTTGATCTTGGATTTCCCAGTCTCTACAACCAGAAGAAAATAAACCTTTGTTGTTTAAATGGAATTTAGTCACGGCAGCCCAAGCAGATAAAGACACCACGTGGTAACATGAAGAAAAGATGGCTATCTACAAATCAGGGAGAAAGGCCCCAGAAGAAACCAACCCTGCCTGCCATACCTTGATTAGGAACTTATAGTCTCCAAAGCAGTGGGGAAAAGAATGTCTGTGTAAGCCACTCAGTCTGTGGTACTCTGTCATAGCAGCTCTTGGAAATTAATATGCTCCCTTATTGGTGTTTCCCTCATGGCTCAGACGGTAAAGCGTCTGTCTGCATTGCTGGAGACCTGGGTTCGATCCCTGGGTCGGGAAGATCCCCTGGAGAAGGAAACGGCGACCCACTCCAGTATTCTTGCCTGGAAAATCCCAAGGACAGAGGAGCCTGGTAGGCTCCAGTCCATGGGGTCGCAAAGAGTAGGACATGACTGAGAGACTTCACTTCACTTCACTTCACTTATTGGTGCAATGAAATGGTAGCTGCTACTCTGTTAGTATTACTATTCACAATTTAAAAGTAAGGTTCATTGCTCTGTATCTATTAACATGGAAAAATGTTCTTACCCTTAAGTGAAAAAAAAAAAAAAGCAACTTCTACAAAAATTATGACACCATTTCTTTTTTTTTAATGACACCATTTGTTTAAAAAAAGCTTACAAATGCTCACAGAACGAATGTGAAAAGAATATATAAAGTACTAGCAGAGATTATCACTGGAGATAACCACTCTTACACAAATAGCAAACATTCCTTTTATAGCAAGCTGAAGGATTTCGTTAAAATCTATTACAAACAGAGAGGGTGTTGAAGGTTCTGGTTCTGGGTAAGATCAAGCAAGTACACCCCACCCTGTCTCTCTGAATGCAGTTCCAAAATCAGGACTGAATGGACTGGCTACTCAAGGCAACTCTGAACAGCAGTAAGTGGATTGGGGAGGAAGGCAAAGAACTGAAGGTGAACTTACTACTTTCCTCCCTCCAACATCTATCTCTCAGTCTGGAGGTAGTACAACCAAAACCCACAACAGAGTGGGCATCTCCAGGAGAAGCCCTCCAGGGCTCGCATGAGGAACAGGAGTGGGTTTTCCTATCACGTAGAAGGGAACGGAAATAAATCACATGCTTTTTCCCTCCATTTTCTTGCATCCCTAGCTCAAGGCAGTCTTCAGCTAAGCTTCTGTTGTGAGTAAGGAGCATTTGTAAGCTTTTTTCTTTTCCCGAACAGAAATGGTGTCATAAAAAAAAGAAGAAATGGTGTCGTAATTTTCACAGCAGTGCCTAGATTATGTTTGATTGAATAAGTAGGAAACAAGACTCGGCAGATCTTCAGAACTCTGCACGTGTTAAGTCAGTCATGTCCGACTCTTTGCAATCCCATGAACAGTAGTCCCCCTGGCTTTTCTGTCCATGGGGGTTCTCCAGGCAAAAATACTAGAGTGGGTTGCCATCCCCTCCTCCAGCAGATCTTCCCAATCCAGGGATCGAACCCACTTCTCTTATGTCTTCTGCACTTGCAGGCAGATTCTTTACCACTAGCACCACCTGGGAAATTCACCACAGTAGGCAAGTTAAAACTCTGAGGCAAGGGATCTTTTCTCTCCAATCAGAGGAGTGATGGTCCCAAGAAGGAGGGGCCAAAACTCCTCTCGCATCTTTTCTCTCTGTCCCTCTACCTCGTAGCCCCAGATACAGGCAGAATTATGATAAAATACAGGAGATCAGGGTATATCACCTGATGCAAAGAACTGACTCATTGGAAAAGACCCTGATGCTGGGAAAGATCTGAAGGCAGGAGAAAGGGATGACTGAGGATGAGATGGTTGGACGGCATCACCGACATGATGGACATGAGTTTGAGTAAGATCCGGGAGTTGGGGTCACAAAGAGCTGGACATGACTGAACTGAACTGATCAGGGTATATAAAGCCCAGTTCTCTGGCTGGATGACTAAATAGGAAGCTCCAGAGAACCCTAAAGTAGCAGGGAGATCAGAGAGAGGAAGAAACTCAGAAAAGTAACACTCCCATCCAGAGCTGTTTATGAACCCCCGGGCTTGCCCTCAAGTGGCACAGGCATGGGTCTGACCCTCAGCAGCATAGCACAGACTTTGAAAGAGGAACTAGGAGTCAGACCTAGCTTCCAGGTCCTAGAATGGCCACTGGTTTGCACACTAACAAGACATATCTGAACAGTTCTGTAAAGGCTTTGGAAATAAGCTGACATTGAAACTACAACTCAAGAGAAGACTCGTCAGAACTTATAGTTTGAGCCCAACCAGGTAGTGACCAATAAAACAAAACCTAAAAAAACTCAGTGGATGGGGACTTCCCTGGTGGCCCAGTGGCTGGCTACAACTCCTTGCTCCCAATGCAAGGGGCCTGGGTTCAATCCCTGGTTAGGCAACTAGGGTCTCTCCCATGCTGCAACTAAGACACAGCACAGCCAAATAAATAAATTTTTTTTTTTTAAACCTCACAGGGGGGAAAAAAAAAACCTCACAGGATGTACTTAACAGCAGAATAGAGGTGAACAGCACAAGGCAGTGGAGATCCATAGAAATGAATCCAATTTGAACAACCAAATAAAAATTGAAAAAAAAAAAACCAACAAAACAATGACTAGGACCTCAGGGACCTGTAGGACAATAACAAAAGATATAACATTATGTCAGTGATTTGCTAGAGGAAGAAGAGTGCAGTGTAGGAAAAAAAAATTTTTTTTAACATTTCCCAACTTTTCAAGACATAAATCTACAGATTCAAGAAGCTCAGCAAATTCCTAAAAGGATAAATTCAAAGAAATTCAAACTCAGACATCTCAGAATCGAAGTGCTAAAAATTAAAGATCAAGAAAAATTTTGAAAGTAGCTAGGGAAAAGTGATACATTGCTTATAGGGAAACTATAATTCAAATGACTACAGATTTCTCAACTAAAAATCTTAATTTATATACTTAAAAAATAATTGTAATGTATAGTGGAACCATATGCAACTTTGTTCTGTATTTTCCAAGTCTCCGGTAAAGGTGTTATCATACTTTCATATTTTAAAAAAGAAAAAAGGACTACAGAGTTCTCAACAGAAACCATGCAGAAACCAGAAAGAAGTGACACATTTTTCAAGTACTAAAAGAAAAGAACTGACATCCCAGAATTTTATATCAAGTGAAAATATCCTTCAGGAATGAAGATGAAATAAAGACATTCTCAGATGAAGGGAAGCTGAATTTGTTGCAAGAAGACCTGCTCTAAAAGAACTGCTAAAGTTCTTCTGACAAAGGGGAAATTACCCCAGTAGAAGGCAACTCAAAATATCAAGAGTAAATAAATTGGCCAATCTACCTCTGAAAGCTTTCTCTGCCCAATTTTACTTCCACCCCCTTATCTTTCATAGGTGTTAACCCTGATAAGCCTCTTGAATTGTTTTTAAGCACATAAATTTAATTAATTTATGTTTAGGTTAAACTTAAGTTAAACTTAAGATTATTAATTCAATCCTTAGTTAATCATTGCTTAAGCATGGTACAAGCAACACAGGGTTATTTTACAGCACACATAAGAACAGGTGGTAAGTAATCCACAATAGAACTGCAAACCACATACTATTTACAATCACCACAACACAGCACAGCTCTCCTCTCCAAAATTCAGCCCACTTTTCTTTAAAGATCTATCTATTCTTAGATGTCAAGTCAG